AAGGTCTCAATGTTTTTTGGGTTTCAGCACACTCCATCATGATCTTGCCTTTTCTAACAGCGTTGATTTGGGATTTATGTTAAGGATAGCTAAGGATTTATCTATTTTGTTTAATCTTTCAAAGAAACAACACTGAATTCATTAATTCTTTGTATTATTGTTAATATCAATTCCATTTCTCACTACTCTAATCTTTACAGTTTCCTGAAGACTCTTGAAATGTCTGATGGAAAGAAGGTATGAGGAAATTACAAAAGGAAGAAATAAGTAACCAAATAACACGTGATGGTAGTGAGAAATTATGAGACAGTGGACAGAGACACGCAAAGAAGGAAAAAATACAGAGCCCAAAATGTCCCTACTAACTACACTTCTATGCACAAGACTCTGAGGTAGAAGCTTGAAGGATGAGGCCCGATTCATATTGTTCTTCTGATCCTTCTTCCTGAGGCTAAATATTACGGGACTATGACGAGGGTATGTCGTTTTCTTCATAGTTTCTCCATTATTTCCAAAACTAGGATAGAAGTAAATGAGAAATGAAGATCCAGTGTACTTTCCAACTGCAGTGAGGTTATGGAGAAGGACATCTGGTGTTCCTCAGCAAAAGGAATCTTTAATATGGTGGCCCAAATAAAGACACAAGAAAACACAACAAGGACTCACAACTTATGAGATCTGACATACAGTGAGTAAATTTTCCACTCCCTAGCATTCAACTTCATTTGGAAAAATGTGCCAGAAAAAAAAAAATTGAGCTTCAATAGACTACATATACAAGGCAACATGAATACTACCATTGTTGTCAAAGTGCAGTAACTAATTATATCCCAGGACAAAGCCCCAACATAGGAACAGTCACAAGGGATATTGTGCACAGTGTAACATAGAGGCTCAGAAAGTTACATATGATGAGCTTACCTCATGTCTATGAAGAAGGATTTTGTGGACCAAAAGCTAAAGATCAGATGATCAGCTTATACCACCTATGTGATATAGCTGCATAACCACAAAAGGTAGATCAGCTTTGGTTATCACACTGAACATAATTTTAGAGATGGAGAAATCAGACACAAAGCAGCACATGGATGTGAGTACACTGTATTCATTCCAGAACATCCCCTGATTAGCAAATTTCCCAGCAATATGAATAGGTACATCAGCAAGTACAAGAAGAGAAATTCTTCCTGGGGTTACCATGAGAAAACCAAGAAATTTAAGAGCATAAACTGAGATCAGGGGCAATAGTTCTGAACAAGCACAGCTCTTATACCTACTGAGATCCAAAACAGAATGAGAACACAATGGTGAATTCCTGTGCTATAGCACAGTTCAAATTACAACTTAATAATTCTATCCTACTGAACAACTTCCCAGGCCTTGCAGTCTCTTTTTTATAATCTTCTCAAAATTGTCTGTCTTATCCCCCACTGTGATACAGTAAAAAAAGACCTACATATGAAAGGTTTTAGTCAGAGTTTAGCAACAAGTTGCATATAAAATTTTCATATGTTTTATTTGCAAAGTATTATATTGATTTTAATAAAGAACAAAGAGAAATTATAGCTGTGGAACAGGTTAAAAATCCTATGTGATTTTTAGTCAGTACAATGGTGGAAAGTATCCAGAACCTTAGTCACTCAGAACATGGGCTCTACCACTGAACTACATTCTTTTTCCACATATGTGCCTTTGCTGCAAACTACATGGTGACATAATCTATCATTTCAATAGTTGATCATGAAATATATTTAGAAATATAAACAATTAGGTGATAATTTTGGTAAGTGTCAAAGTTAGTAAAAATATGTTCATTTCTATATACAGCATATAATGTGTTTACCAAAATATTTCATCCAAAATACATAACCAACAAATAATGAAAGAGGAACTAATATACTGGAAAAATGAGGAAAGAGGCATAATAAAAAAGGTGCAATACTAGAACACATTTAGAGAATAAAAATAAAGTATAAAGCCATAAATAGTGAAATACTGAAAAGGGATTATCTGTCTTTGTTTTTTCTTTTTTTTTTTTCTGTTATTGTATTTCTGCTCTTTTCAGCACCATATGTACTAAAATATTTTATTGTATCCAATATTTTTGCACTCTGTTTTTAAGAGATATTGTAAACATGCTTACATTGTATTTTCTTAAGTTTGACCCATATCACAGGCAACACAGGAGAAATAAAAGTGAGATCTGTCCCAAGTAACCTATGAGGAGTTGATCTTGCACCAGCTTCTAATGGCTGTGCTTCCTGGTGCATACCAGTTTCTGGCAAACCAATGATACAGTAAGAGACATAAAATATGGGAGATATGGCAAAGGTGTGAATAGTTAAACTGTGGGGCAAAAGCACACAGGTTCTGTGGGAAGTAAATGGTTAAACAACAAGAAACTTAGATTAGTGAGGCATGTTGTGCCCAGCCATTAACCTTCCCTTTTATGCATGAAAACTGCAGTGCCTGAGACAGCTCATTCACCAAACTTTTTCTTCTGCTTTTCTCCCTTACACTAATATTTAAATAAAAGCTACAGAATCCTTGGCTTCAGGCCTTCTCCATGGAGCCCTCCCTAATGCTGGGCACTCTTGGCTGAGGTAGCCCCACTGAACCTCTCAGTGAATGAACTAACGCTTCTAAGTAATCATCCATTCTCTATCCACCATGATTGCTCACTGGAACAAGTGGTGGCCTATGTGAAGAAAAACCTGCTGCTGCAGATCAGTGTAACAGATTGACCTCTTAAAGCTTTGAAAAAGAACGAGTATGCATCCAACTCTTTATCTAAGTAAAGGGATATAAACAGACATAGAATAGCCTGGTATGTTCATGGTAAGGTCATATGGTAGGTTTATCAGTAGAGAGGTCTTTCAACTCCCCAACTGCTATGTAAGGCGGGGCAGTTCTTTGACTTTCTTTTTGATCTTTTACTTTTATTTCCTCTGATTTGCCTATAAGGGTCAGACTTAAGAAACTTCTAATGAAAGTAATGTTTACAATGTCTCTTAAAAATATGAGGGAAAAAAATTAGAATACAATAAAATATTTTAGTATATTTATTGCCAAAATAAGTATGAATAAAATAAATTTTTAAAAAGATGAAAAAACACAAAAATAGAAAAGAAAATAGCACTAAGGCAACAAAAGCCAAGCCAATCAAGTATGCTAAACTGGGACAGATCTATCAGGAAAATAAAAAAAGTAACTTCAAAGGCTTAAAGCCCTGGCAAAAACATGAGAGTGCACTCTCATTAAATACATCTATTTTATGTTCAACTGCCTGTTAATCTATTTTAATAACTGATTAAGGCATCATCAGCTGCTTTATTAAAAATTTTTGAGCTCGTATCAATTTTATTTCCCCTTTCAGTTTTGCCCTTGAAAACTTCTTGCTCTTAAGAAAATGAGCCAGAATAAGGTTCATTACAGAACAAAGGTTAGTAGACTTAAAAGACACATACAAATAAAAGACTTTAAATTGTGATGATATAAAGGTTGTATGGGATTTAGGCTAATATATGTTTCTGTACATGTGTTCACTTTCAGATATACATTATCCTCCAAAAAGTCCTACTTAGGTTGATTTACAGATAGACACCCATGATATTAGCCTAAATGCTTTCTGGTTTATATAGCTCTAAGAGGGGGCTAATTTAAATCAATTGGTAAAAACAGAGATGACAGGGCTGGGGATATAGCTCAGCAGCACAAGCACCTGCCTAGCAAACACAAGGTCCTGGGCTCCGTTCCCAGTACCAAAAAAAAAAAGAGATGCGTTTAAAGTTACTGAGATGTTTCCTTTGAGGTAAATGTGAGGCAAGCAAAATGATATAAAAATGAGTTTTAGAAAGACAGTATCTATTGTTGTCTTGATACAATAATTACAAAGCCTTGTTCATTAGTGTTCAAGAGATAAACATAAAAATGGGACCAAAAATCCTATAATGTGGGGACAAACATAAGTTAAAAATAAAAATAAAAACACACAGCTTCTCAACTCTAGCATGCCTATCACTACCATTCTTATAAGAGTGCAAGTCAAGGCCTCACTTTTGCTGCCTCTGGAGACCAA